GTGGAGAGCCAGGTGGGCGGCCAGTGGTGGTCAGTGGACCCGTGTGAGGGACTTTGCTCACATGGACACCTACGTGCCCAGGTGGAGATGCCTCTGGACTCCCGCCCCCCGCCCAGGACCTGCAGACCTTACACACCAGGAGGCTGTGACGCTGCGGTGCGGCCAGGCCCTGGCCACGTCGGTCCTCTGCTGGTCTCTGCAGGAAAGACCTGGCTTCCCCCCAGGGGCTCGGGCACCCTGGACAGCTCAGCACTGGAGCTGTCTCCTATCCCCAGAGGTTGGAAGACCTTCTGCCCTGGCTGGACAGGGGCCAGCTCTGGTCCCCAGAGATCTGTGGTCAGTGAGGAGCTGCCCTGAAGTGACCCTGCAGGGCGAGGGGGGTGCCTGTCTGCCCAGAAGCAGATAAGCAGCCGTCCTCAGCCGCCTCTCAGGAGCCTCAGTCAGACGCAGAGGCTGGACAGCGTGGCTCAGGCCACCTGTGGGGAGCTTGTTCCCCCTGCCCAGGCTCATGTAAGGTGGCACCAGGCCCCAGGACCTCAGAATGGGGCCGGTTGTGGACATAGGGTCCTTGAAGGTGTCCAGTTAATACGCGGTCCTGCTGGCCTAGGGCAGGCCCTTTGTCCCACAGGAGAAATGCAGACACAGAAGGGCAGAGAGGCCAGGGTTATAAAGACATGGGAGACGGCCATCTGCCAGCCAAGGACAGAGCCCTGGCCCGGATGCTGCCCACCGTGGAGGAGCCAGCCCTGCCTGCCCCTGGCGTGTGCTCCGTGAGACCATTTCAGCCTCTGCCCAGAGCCCAGCTGCGGGTGTGCCTGGTTCGAGGCCACGGGGCTGAAGACCTTCAGAGCAGCCGCAGGAGGCTGGCACGGCACCGCTTTGGCCATCCTGGGGACAGCCCCACAGAGCAGCACATGGGCGCGGCTTCGTCCTGGGCTCGCAGGGCCAGCAGCTCACCCAGAAGGCCGCTCCACGGGGCTGAGGTGTGCTCGGGAGCTGCAGAGTGGACCACTGTCTCCGAGGATGCTGGTGGGCAGCGCAGCAGGATGGCCTGGGAAGTGGACACTCGTCCCCACCTGAGCCAGAGCTTGTGTCCACGGGGCACCTCAGCCAACAGGACGCCGGGGAAAGGAACCCAAGACGTAGTGTCTGTGAGGCCCTCTGGCCTCTCGGACCCTCCCGGCCTCCCCATCTTGCAGCGTGGGGGGGTGACAAGGCTCCAGGAGGTGTGACTCAGTGACACTCCCCAGCTGGTGGCATCCAAGCCCCATCCTCCCCGTCTCGGTCCCCACCCTGAGAACCCTGGGCACCCAGGGAAGATGAGTGGCTTCCACAGCTCCTGCAGCGAGTGAGAGCGATGGAGAACCGGGTCACTTAGCCTGCAGGTCCTCCTCCAGAAAGCAGCTCTCAGGGACACAAGTGTGTCCCCAAACTCTGCCGATGGAACCCCAGCCCCCAAAGGGACTGCTTGGGAAATGTGAGTC